TATATATATATATATATATATATATATATATATATATATATATATATAGTGGACACACTGGAGAGATAAGATATTATTCGAAGCCTTCTCTTATCTCGAATAATCTACTTTACAACCGTGTATAACCGTGTAACCTAGAAGTTACACAGTGTATCGTACACCGAATTACTCAATGCTTAGATAATTTCACTTATCGCTATGCATACGATAAATGCCATATCTCCTCACTTATTAATAATAACAACGTTTATTTTTACAATCGTTATTAATAATTAATATTAGCGTCAAAAAGTTTCGAGAAAGTTGAGAAGACCCCCTCTCCCCCTCCCCCCTCTCTCTCTCTCCACGCGGATTTTAATTCTTGCTCAAATCAATGCCCCAAAGATTTCGTGGCCGGATCAAGAAGAGGTCGAGCTATTATTCGAGATCGGGAGACAAACAACGGTAAAACAAAGTGCGCCCGTTCTTATGTCCCACTATATATTCGCTCGTGCAGCCATAACAGCGGTGGCCAGTGGTTCTCCGCAATGCGAATTTTCACTGCAGTCGTCGTCAATCTCCGATAAGAAAGGAAAAAAGGAAAGAAAGAAAGAAAGAAAGAAAGAAAGAAAGAAAGAAAGAAAGAAAGAACGATAGGTATTCCGTCGTATTGGAGGAATATTGTTACGAGCAAGCACAGTGTGTGGCCCTTTTTTACGGCTTAACGCCATTGAGAGAGGAGGGAGACACCGTGCGTTTCGAGGCCAGCGGTTCTCAACCGAGAGGAGAGAAGAGAGAGAAAAGATGGCCTTATACGTCGGATCGTATCAAGGATCATCGTCCATCAACGATGATACCCCGGTGGCGATTCTCCGCCGTTACACTTCGTATAATGGGCATAATTGTGACGACTAGCAGCAGCAGCAGCCCGTTATTAGACTTCGTCGTTCCTTGAGAACCGTGGCAAGACCTCGTATCACGAGCCCAGTGGCTCTCACGATTTTATTCGATCATCGAGCCTGCTCTCTTAGAAAGAGAGTTTTGATATGAAATTGGATACAGATGAAAATGCCTATTATTTCTCTTCTTTTCTTCTTGTTGTCGAACAAATATTCGTGAATATGCATTTTAGGAAATTAGAGATTTACCAGCGATTCAAATTTTAAAAGAGATTCAGAGAAATTTCGAATTGAAAAAATTTCACTTTTCTTTATCTCTGGTGAAAACAACAATGATAAAAGAAGATAAATATATATATATACATATACATACACTAAACCACTCAACTGTGGCGAGCAAAATTTTAATATATATATAATTAGCATATTTTTCTCTTTCAATCCAAAGCACCAAGATTTAAAGAATTCTCAATCGTCGTGCTCCTCTGCGACGATTGACAGAGAAGACGGACGTCACCGACTCTCGTCACCTTTTCAAAACTCTCTCTCCAAGGTGCATTCGATTTGCCTCAGCATCAAAAGCCGAGAGATTCGGGTTAGGTGTTGGCATAGGCCATAGGCTACCACGAAACGACCCTGGCTCTTCGCTTGGCTCTAAAGCCAAGGCGACGTGCAGCCTCCTCTGCCTTTCTTCTTTCCCTTTCTCCCTCCCTCTCCCCCCTCCACCCTCTCCCCCAGTCCCCTCCGCCGTTTCCCTTCACTTCCGCCTAGCGTTCTGCTCAATCTCACGGGATTAGAGGGCTATCTGAATTGACGCTAACAGCAATTCCGACGCTGGCCTCAACAGGTCGTGTGTATGTGACTGAGCGAATGTGTTGTCGTCGTACTACAACAACAATTCTTCGATCCTTCGAAGATTTAATTATTGAAATTCGATCAAGTTGAATTCGATCTTCGAAAATGTTCCATCAGATTAGATATGCAGATTGTAATAATGCGTATATGTGTCAAGTGCAAATGAATCTGATGACGAGGAGGAGGATCGATTGAGCGAGCATTGTCGAGGAACGAAGCTTGATCATAGTTGATATAACGTTCACTTCTTATGCGAATTTCGAAAAGCGAGTGAAAGCTTTATTATTCGCATTCGGTATATATTTATTTATTTGTTGTATCTTGTTTGTTGATGTACCTCGTCGAAAACGAAATTGCTCGGAAGTTTGAATAATTGGTAATTTATCAGGCGCGTCGTTGCTTTCAACGACCTTCGTGATATCGCTTCAACAAGTTCAGTGCCAGCCATTATTAGTGGCTACCATGATTAGTATTATACCATGCGCCAAGGAAAGAGAAGGAAAACGAAACTTTTGCTCGAGAAAGATGGTAATTGGATTTAAAAAAAAAAGGGAACAATTTTAATTTGTAATTATGCAAAAGGAATATCGAGTTGCCCCAAGTCTGATGACAATTCTAAGAATAATTTCCAACAGGTGAAAATGTGGGTATTTCTAGTAGTGTAGAGAGATACAATCAGGGAATAATACTCCGTGGGAGCAGAAACAATCGTTCAACTATTCCACGAAACAAAAAAAGTTGTATCTTTATCTTATTAAAATTCCACCTTAAAAAAAAAAAAAATCTTTCCATGTTCCGTATTATATTTTAACAAAAAACTTTAACATTCATTTTCATTGTTTAACAATTTTTGTACATATTTTCTTTTTATACATATATCTCAAAAATGATATTAATTTTTTTTTTATAAATGATCGCAACTGATAGTTTTTTTTTAGTCAATATCGACGAGAGAATTAGCGCTATTTCCACTATTGCGAAGTTTAACGCAATGAATAGACGTCGTCTACATCCAAGTGGCAAGTTTAAGTACAGAATCGTCGTGAAGATCAAAGATTTATCGAGGATTCCCATTTATTCGTCTGGAATGCTGAAACGCGACATTCCAGTATGAAAAAGTCTGCACTGCACCACTATGTAACTTGGAACCATCCCATTTTCCCTTCCCTCCTACTCTATATTATTCTCACTCCGTTTCTTTT